ATATTAAGAGAGATACTATCAATTTTCCAAAAATATGATGACAACATAATATGCAAATTGAAATTTTGAGTTCGGAGGCCATTATGATGACGTCATGAGTTAATTGAGGGTAAAATAAGACATGAAATCATATCTCCAATTTATATTCTATCACAATATGAAAAAAGAATTAGGGTGACCTTGCATCCTAAATAGCTACAATGGATTTTGTGTAGGCATGTTTTTGTCCGTATATTCTATGTAATACAAGAGCTCGCACGCACAGAAATTTATGTTAAACGGTCGATCATTCCGTTATTAATAGTCATAAAGAGACAAACATGGTATTAAATTGTTTGTAAAAATATGTGGAATATTATGAAAGAAAAAAATGGCGATTCTATGTTGTTTAATAGTTTTACGCGCGAAAACGCGCGCGCATGCGCGTGTGCGCGATTTTTTAAAATGCTTAGAATGGCCTAAAACGTATGCAAAATGATTTTGAGACGATTTTGAGCATTTTAATATTTTGCGCGCGCATTGACGCGTGGAGGTACGCGCACGCGCGCGTTTTTTGACCTGCAATTGACCGGACGGATATTGACCTCGATCATTATAAATATGAATGAGAAATACCTTTTTGTTATGAAGATATGATCATGAGTTGATTTTCGTAAAATTTTACAAAATGGCGCCTAGATGACGTCATCAGTGAAGGACAATGTTGAAAACGTTATTGTGCTTTGTACATATGCCTTTACATATGTGTGCCAAATGTCAAGGCATTTGATTGAGCCATTTTCAAGTTATCTTGCTAACAAAAAAGTGGTTAGAAATAAGAAAAATATTTAACTAGATTTGTAATACTTGTTTGGAACAAGTATAGGTGGGCTGGTCGAACTAAAATTTGAGACAAAATAAAGGGTACATTTGAGATAGCTTAATGTCTCAGCTACAACATACTTGAAGTTCAGCGTAAACAAAGCTAAACGACAGAGATATTGCTCGCGAAAGAATCCAGTTTTGAGAAAAACTCATGTCCCATAGAGAATACACGCAAAATGTGAAAAATTGACATGCCTTTTTTAATCGCGAAAATACGCCCTGATGCCTTTGTCAAAATGAAAATTTGGGCCAACTTTATTTGTAGAAAATTGTCTCAGCTAAAACATATCAACATTTTGAAGACAATCGATCAATATTTACAGAGAAACAATCAATTTTCCGTAAATATGCTGACGTCATAATATGCAAATTGAAATTTTGAGTTTGGAGGCCATTATGATGACGTAATGAGTTCATTGAGGGTCAAATGAGACATGAAATCATATCTCCAATTCATACTGTATCAAAATATGACCCAAAAATTGGGGTCACCTTGCATCCTAAAGGGCTACAATGGATCTTGTATAGGCATGTTTTTGCCCATATATGCTATGTATTACATAAGCTCGCGCGCACGGAAATTTATGTTAAACGGTCGATCATTCCATTATTAATAGTCATAAAGAGACAAGCATGGTATCAATTTGTTTGTAAAAATATGTGGAATATTATGAAAGAAAAAAAATGGCGATTCTATGTTGTGTAATAGTTTTACGCGCGAAAACGCGCGCGCCGCACGCATGCGCGTGTGTGTGGGCGTTTTTTTATAAAATGCTTAGAATGGCCTAAAACGTATGCAAAATGATTTTGAGACGATTTTGAGCATTTTAATTTTTTGCGCGCGCATTGACGCGCGGACGTACGCGGACGTGCGCGTTTTTTTACCTGAAATTGACCGGACCGATATTGACCTTGATCGTGCAAACTATGAATAAGAAATTACTTTCCGTTATGAAGATATGATCATAAGTTAAAATTCACAAAATGGCGCCTAGATGACGTAATCAGTCAAGGTCAAGCTTGAAAACGTCATTTTGATTTATTTATATGCCTATACATATGTGTGCCAAATTTCAAGGCATTTGATTGAGCCATTTTCAAGTTATCTTGCTAACAAAAAAGTGGTTAGAAATAAGAAAAATATTTAATAACTAGATTTGTAATACTTGTTTGGAACAAGTATAGGTGGGCTGATCCAACAAAAAATTGAGACAAAATAAAGGGTACATTTGAAATAGCTTTTTGTCTCAGCTACAACATATTCGGAGTTCAGCGTAAATGAAGCTAAAACGACGTAGATATTGCTCGCGAAAGACGGGAATGTAGAATCAAGTTTTGAGAAAAAGTCATGTCCCATAGAGAATACACGCAAAATGTGAAAAAATTAGCTTGCCTCCTTTAAACGCAAAAATACGCCATGATGCCTTTGTCAAAATGAAAAATTGTGCCAACTGGATTTGTAGAGAATTGTCTCAGCTAGAACATATCAAAATTTTAAAGAAAATTTATCAATTTTTAGAAAGATACAATCAATTTTCCAAAAAAATGCTGACGTCATAATATGCAAATTGAAATTTTGAGTTTGGAGGCCATTATGATGACGTCATGAGTTAATTAAGGGTCAAATGAGACATGAAATCGTATCTCCAATTCATACTCTATTAAAAGTTAAAACGAAATTGGGGTCACCTTGCATCCTAAAGAGCTACAATGGATTTTGTATAGGCATGTTTTTGCACATATATGCTATGTATTACAAGAGCTCGCGCGCACTGAAATTAATGTTAAACGGTCGATTATTCCTTTTTTAATAGTCATAAAGAGACAAACATGGTATCAATTTGTTTGTAAAAATATGTGGAATATTATGAAAGAAAAAAAAGGGCGATTCTATGTTGTGTAATATTTTTACGCGCGAAAACGCGCGCGCATGCGCGTGTGCGCGATTTTTTTTAAAACGCTTAGAATGGCCTAAAACGTATGCAAAATGATTTTGAGACGATTTTGAGCATTTTAAAAATTTGCGCGCGCATTGACGCGCGGACGTACGCGCACGCGCGCGTTATTTGACCTGAAATTGACCGGACAGATATTGACCTTGATCATGATAAATATGAATGAGAAATAGCTTTTGGTTATGAAGATATGATCATGAGTTGATTTTCGTAAAATTTTACAAAATGGCGCCTAGATGACGTCATCGGTAAAGGTCAATGTTGAAAACGTTATTGTGCTTTGTACATATGCCTATACATATGTGTGCCAAATTTCAAGGCATTTGATTGAGCCATTTCTAAGTTATCTTGCCAACAAAAAAGTGGTTAGAAATAAGAAAAATATATAATAACTAGATTTGTAATACTTGTTTGGAACAAGTATAGGTGGGCTGATCCAACAAAAAATTGAGACAAAATAAAGGGTACATTTGAAATAGCTTTTTGTCTCAGCTACAACATATTCGGAGTTCAGCGTAAATGAAGCTAAAACGACGTAGATATTGCTCGCGAAAGACGGGAATGTAGAATCAAGTTTTGAGAAAAAGTCATGTCCCATAGAGAATACACGCAAAATGTGAAAAAATTAGCTTGCCTCCTTTAATTGCAAAAATACGCCATGATGCCTTTGTCAAAATGAAAAATTGTGACAACTGGATTTGTAGAGAATTGTCTCAGCTAGAACATATCAAAATTTTAAAGAAAATTAATCAATTTTTAGAAAGATACAATCAATTTTCCAAAAAAATGCTGACGTCATAATAGGCCAATTGAAATTTTGAGTTCGGAGGCCATTATGATGACGTCATGAGTTAATTGAGGGTCAAATGAGACATGAAATCATATCTCTGATTCATACTCGCTCAAAATATGAAAAAAAAATTGGGGTCACCTTGCATCCTAAAGAGCTATAATGGATTTTGCAAAGGCATGTTTTTGCCCATATATGCTATGTATTACAAGAGCACGCGCGCATTGAAATTTATGTTAAACGGTCGATTATTCAATTATTTATAGTCATAAAGAGACAAACATGGTATCAATTTGTTTGTAAGAATATGTGGAATATTATGAAAGAAAAAAAATGGCGATTCTATGGTGTCTAATAGTTTTACGCGCGAAAACGCGCGCGCATGCGCGTGTGCGCGATTTTTAAAAAAATGCTTAGAATGGCCTGAAACGTATGCAAAATGATTTTGAGACGATTTTGAGCATTTCAAAATTTTGCGCGCGCATTGACGCGCGGACGTACGCGCACGCGCGCGTTATTTGACCTGAAATTGACCGGACGGATATTGACCCTGATCATGATAAATATGAATCAGAAATACCTTTTGGTTATGAAGATATGATCAGGAGTTGATTTTCGTAAAATTTTACAAAATGGCGCCTAGATGACGTCATCAGTGAAGGTCAATGTTGAAAACGTTATTGTGCTTTGTACATATGCCTATACATATGTGTGCCAAATTTCAAATTATTTGATTGAGCCATTTCCAAGTTATCTTGCCAACAAAAAAGTGGTTAGAAATAAGAAAAATATATAATAAATAATAAATAATAAATAAAGGCAATTCTAACGAAATTATAAGGTGGTCTGTACGTTATACAGCCCACCTGATAATAAAGGCGATTTTAACAAAAATATAAGGTGGTCTGTATTAGATACAGCCCACCTGATAAATAAATAAATAAATAAATAATAAAGGCAATTCTAACGAAATTATAAGGTGGTCTGTACGTTATACAGCCCACCTGAAAAGCTATTTACAATAAACTGATAGAAATGAGTTGATATGAATTATTAACAGGCAAATATAAATACTCAAATTTAAGGGTCTATGAATATAGAAGACAAGGTTATAAGAGCGTTTGGCAGCACACACATTGGCCCGAATTCACAAAGCAAGGTTTGAGCTCAAACCTCCTTTTGTTTCGCCAAACCTCCTTTTGTTCTTTACAAACCAGGTTTGTAAAAAACGCGTAAACCGCGTCATATGACGTACGAAACCAAGGTTTGAGCTCAAACCTCCTTTGTGAATTCGGGCCATCGGTTTCAGCATCCTTACAAAAAATAGTAAATTTACAGACCTATACAACTTTGTCTTGCATTCTCAACAACATGATGGCAATTCAATTCAAAAAGATGCACCAACAAAACTGTTATGTCGCTGATAAAGTTTCTCCATTATTAGCTGAAATGGTCAAATTTGGTTTCAATATGAGTTTTAGGATTTTTGCATTGCCCCTGAATGAAGGTATCTTAATCTACCTTGAATGAAAATTTGGTGTTCACTGGTTTGGTAAACGGCTCCCTCAGGTCTTCCACATCAACGGCCGCTCCCGATTTGGACAAAAGCAGTTTTTGTACCAACTGCGTCAGCTGCTGCTGCCCTTCCTCCAGCCTCTGCAGCGTACAGTGTGCCTGCACTTGAAAATTGCCTGAGAAGAAAAAAAACAGACACATAAAATACATTATAATAACAGTTAAAGTCATTAAAAAGTTTGACAGCAAATTAATAGGATATTTTGGCGAGATATGTTTGATAGCTGAAAAATTTAGTCACTTCAGGAATATATCACCCAGCTTCAAAGACGACACCTGTGCAGCGCTTCCAACAAAGTATACATACTGTAAGGATTTAAAAGCGACTCTTCTGTAAAAAAACTATACCCATGCCTTGTTGATGAAATAAATTACATGTACGCCGAGATAATCTGCCTCTCTTATCCAATCCAACAGTATTTTAGTGTAGCAACTTAATACAAATGGCAAATGTTGTTTTGTTAGTTTATACGCTCTACAGTATATGTTCTGATGATAAAAAAACCCATCAGAAACTTTTGTTTGTGAAATGCTATCTGAAAAAAACTTACTTTTCGAAACCCGAGCCCTTGCTAGAGTTGTGGGTTGGAACTGAAAAATGTGATGTGGACTTGGACTTCGCATTCAGTTTCGGCATTGGTATCTCTGCTGCCACAGCCTTAGTCGTTCCTCCGCGTACATGTTGTTTTCTTGGGTCCTAACCGATTCAAGATCTGAAAAACAGAGACACATTGCAGATGTTAAAAGGGATATCAAGACATGACAAGAATTCTCATAAACTGAACAAACTTTTGGGTAATGCAAACTTCTTGTCCGAAATTTATGCCTAGATTACAAATTAATTTCCAGTTTTGCCGGAATGGTGCCACATCTATTAATCATCATTTTGCATGGCTGGGACACAAAGCAGGTCTAGCTATCCCAAATAAATTATCTTAGGTTTTCATCTGTTGGATTTTGAAGAAAACAAGAAATAAGATGTAAATTATACGTCTCTGGCCGAACCAAGCACTACTAACCATCAAGAGACAAATACTTACCAGCGTCAATTCCGGAATCACTAGAAGATTTGCTAAATCTCTGGGGAAGACGTCTCTTTCGCTTCTACATAGCATCATCTTCCGATACCAGGTTTGACGTGTCCTCTGCCTTCCTGGCGATGCTTTTGCGCTTTCACATAGTTGCCTGTATGTAAAAATAAAACAAATCAATCCTTAAGTTATTAATCTACGTTATTGGAAATCAATTTCTTTAAATAATGTGTCATCTGCACTAAAAAGATTTTTTTTAAAGTGACGAAATTGAGAACAAGATAGGCCTATAGATCTAGGTCTCGATATTTCTAAAAAAACAATATCCATACAAAAAAGGTGGTTTGGGGAGCTATTTCAATTGCCTAAAAAACAAACCTGTTGTAATAGGGGGTGGGATAATATAAAGTTGCTAAATGGTGGTGGAGGGAAAAGCATGGAATGTTCCACTCCCATGGGATTTTAAATGCTATTGAGGGAAGAGTAAATAAGTCGAGAAATGAGCTGGTAGTCGAGGGACGTATTTTCTTCACGAAATAGCATTTTAAATCCCGATGGGAACTTTCCATGATTTTTCCAGACAGCAAAGTTAACAACTCAACTGTTTTAATCATCCGATTACCATGTAATGTAACGAGCCATGCGCACATACCCACTCCAGCAAAGAGTCCATGCTATTATGCGTATTGACCTCTAGCACTGCACTACGTGTTAATAGGCAGCATTTGCTCAAAAGGAATAGTAAATACACATAATACACATATGAACTTATCATGCCGATGCGGCTGTAAGCAAATGTTGACAGTAGATCTAGATTTTCTAGATCTAGACAAACAATTTGAATTTCTAAATTGTTCTTTCTAACAAAATAACATCGGTAAGTTGAACAAATTGTATTTTATTAGACTACTGCTATTTAGGTGTCATCAATTGTCACTAAAGTACCGATTTTTAGTGAAAGAGTTTTGTACAGTGGTGTTTGAAATGTTGAGTATCAATAGCACAGCTTTTAATACACACAGCCAGAATAGTAATGCAGCTATGTATGCACTAACTCCAAGAAGCTCCGACGCCCGGAGCTTCCTGGAGTTTATGTGTGCACATATGCAATGAAAGTTTCAACGGCCTGCACATGCGACATAGAGTCTGCCGTACTTTTAGTTTTAATGCAAAATTGCAAATAATCAATATTTTATTTCATTTTACATGCTTCAAAATCAATCAAACAAAGCTTAAATTCCTTACAGATATCAAAATGTTAAAATAACGCTTACCTCGGTGTCGCAGTCTAACATATTATTTGAAATCTCGAAGTCACGTCATCGAGCAGTCAACTCGTCAGTCAGTTTAAAACTCGCGGCATGCGCTATGCAGCTCTGGAGCTGGAGCGAGCGCGCCGCACCGGCCGCGCCGGATACGATTCACTGACCTATACAGTGGTACGATTATATACGGTGCGTACGCACTTTGTATACACGTGGTTGAATGGAGCATAATAAATGATGTAGCGCGGTCGGACTGATTGGGCTGGGGGGGGGGGGGGGGGGGGGGGGGGGGGGGGGGGGGGGGGGGGGGGAGGGGCACAAACATTATGTGAGGGGGAGGGGTCACTCCTTATGTATTTCTTTTTCTTCATCTGCATCTGCATCTGCATCTGTCTGTGACGTACAATCACCAGCATCTGGTTGTCACCTTATGTTTTCTATTTTTTTCCTCAAAATTATTGGGGGCACGTGCCTCCCTACATCGCTACGCCACAGGAGTGCATCAGTTTCACATACCTCGACCCCCCCCCCCATGCGTATGCATGTGGCCTAATTTCGCCAGCTGGTATTTTTTAAGAAATATTTATTTGGACATCAATAAAAAATAAATTCAACAAAATACGTCTGAATAAAACGTTCTGTAAACGTTTTACAGGACCTATCCAAGAACGTTTAATTTGTAACGTCCAAAAAACGTTTTCTGAACGTCTTTAAAAGACCTAGCTCCGCAGCGAATGTAAAGTCCCAACTTAGACGTTATATAAACGTTTTTTAAACGTTTAATATGGACGGAGACGTACGGAACCTGATACGAACGTTCTGTAAACGTTCTAAAAACGTTTCGTGTTTGCTGGGCAGTGACCCCATCGTTGATATGACAGAAGACGAGATAATACGGAAACATATTGACTTAAATGGGAGTATTCTGTCTCAAAATGAAAAACAGGAAATCGTTCGTGTTCTGATGGAAAATAGAAATGCATTTTCTCTATATGGCGAACTATCTAGTTGCCCGAATTTCGAAGTAGACATTGAACTGACTAATGACGAACCATTTTTCATTCGACCTTACTTTGCAACTGAGACTGACAAGGCTAGGATAGAATATGAGCTAACCAAACTCGTCAAGTTGGGAATTTTAGAAGTAGGACATCAATCATACACCTCACCTGTCCTCCTCCTTTCCAAAAAGAACACCTCCGAAAAGAGAGTTGTTACTGATTTTCGGTATCTCAATTCTAGAGTTAAACGAATTAATCATCCCTTCCCCCTACTTTCGGAAACCCTCAAACGAATTGGCAATGCTAACACAAAAGTCCTTAGTGTGATTGACTTGAAGTCAGCTTTTCATTGCATCCCCCTATCCAAGTCAGCTCAAAAGTATACAGGTATTGCATCATACCATGGCGGGAAACATTACTTTTACAAACGTTTGGCACAGGGCTTAAACGTTTCACCCGCTATCTTTCAGGCAAAGATTGATGATATTTTGGGTTCGATCCCCAATTCTAGGCAATTTTGCATAGCTCACCATGACGACATAATACTATTTAGCCAAGACAAGACCTCCCATCGATCCCACTTGATAGATGTACTAAAGGCCCTATCTGACAATGGACTTAAAGTCAGCCCGAAGAAGTGCAAGCTCTTCCGCACTGATGTTGATTATATGGGCCACCGAATCACTGTCAATAAGGTGGGAGATGCATGTTTTCAACCCTTCGTGACAGGTGTGCTGCTATCCATGGCATGCCCAAACCAAAGACCCCCAGACAAGTTAGGAGACTAGTGGGAGCAGTGAACTATGTTGCCGGGTTTTTCCCCAATATACAATCTGTTCTCAAACCACTACATCAACTGACTAGAAAGAAAAACAAATTCGTCTGGACTGACGTACACGAAACTGCCTTTAACAAAGTTAAAGAGCTAATGACCAACCCTCCAGTCTTACACATTCCCCAACATACAGGACGATTCTCACTATACAGTGACACTTCTCGGACTGCTACTGGCTCATACTTAACTCAATTTATTAACGGACAGGAACGTATTATTGGGTATTACTCAAAAGTATTGCCCGATGCATGTCAGAGATACAGTGTGACAGAGTTGGAACTATTTGGACTATTGATCAATGTCTCAGCCTTTAAGCATTTGCTTAAAGGATGTGAGTTCAATGCATTCGTTGACCATAGTTCAATTGTCCAGATTTTAAAATCAAAGGATGCACCGTGCACAACACGACTGCAAATATTGATTTTGAAATTATCTGAATACTCCTTCCAAATTGGATACAAAAAGGGTACTGAACTCGTTTTGGCAGATTTTCTTTCTCGAGCCCCTTCTGGTGACCATGATGAGATTGACAGGGTTGTCCCCATTTCATGCTGCTTATTTGACGAGAGTGATTTTGTTCATATGTACACCCTTAACCCAGTCCAACCCATGGATAGGAGAATAACACGGGCTTATGCCAAGAAGATGGGAATAACTGTTCCTGAAATTTCCCCCAACAAATCTAAGAGCCCCATTACAACAGAAACTAGTGTAAACACACCTACTAGGCCAGCTGACCCAACACCCCTGACAGACCTACCACACACCCCCAACGACCAACCAATCACGGACAGGCATCACGGCTTACCACGCCCCTCAGGCAGGCACCAGTGCGTGACCAAGACAGTACATGTACTCATTCTAGAATTATGCCCCCTTTTTCTACCACTCCCAAGAGCCTAGACTAGTTGACAGACATACTAATGACCACCACAGAGATGTACCACCTCATCTATACACACCGCCTAGGCCACTGACTACAAAGGTGAACAATATAATAGCAGGACATATCCCCAAACAACATGAACTTGATAGGATTACGGACATAATCAAGAGGAAAATAATCAGAGATTACAACCTCCCCATTGACATGAGAGAACTTAAAACAGAACAACAAACATCACCATTCTTCAAGCCTGTGTATGATTTTCTAGCCCATGATATTCTGCCAAATGACAAAAAGGCAGCTAAGGCTATAAGATTGAAGGCAGAGGAATATATTCTTTGTGATGGCGTTCTTTTTAGGCTCTTCTTTGACAAGAATGACGACTTTCGACTTCAACTTGCGATACCAGAAACACTGACAGACACTATCGTCTCCCAATACCATGACAACCTACTTAGTAACCACCAAGGGACCCAACGAACTTACCTGACAATACGACGCAACTTCTATATGCCAAATATGTTTGAGCGAATTAATAATTATGTTAAAGCTTGTTTGCGTTGTCAGCAGTTTCGCGGTAAGCCCGACAAGACTAGACCATTTCACACACGAGTACCAGACTCGTACAGACCATTCGACCGCATTAGTCTTGACTTTAAGACTATGCCGACATCCGGGACTGGATTTAGACACTTGATGGTGATATGCGATGAGATAACTCGCTTTGTCATCTGCGCGCCCCTCAAGACGCTCGATGCAGAGACAATTTGCGAAGCTTTAATCCAAAAAGTAGTTTGCATTTGTGGACCACCATCATGTCTAGTAACTGACGCAGCTTCTTCACTGACAGGCAAACTACTGACTACTTTGTGTTCAGCATTGAACATTGACCGCAAGGTCATTAGTGTAGAAAATCATGGGAGTCTACAAGTTGAGCGGCACATCCGAACCCTTTCAAGTTTTCTCAAAATAAACTTGAATCAATTTGGAACCGATTGGGTTAGATACATTTCTACTACAACCTATGCTTACAATTCCTTTTCCTCCCAACACCTCGGTGACCACAGCCCCTACCAGCTCGTTTTTGGACGAGAGCCCCCAAATGTAACATCTTTGTCCTTCAATCCCATTTCAGGCCTTTCCCAATCATACAAAGAATATGTAGACCATTTGAAAAAGAAATTTGATCAGATTTCCAGGACAATGCTCTCTTTACAGAGGAAACAGCAAGATAAACAGAATGTTGAAATTGCAAACAAATTGAGAAAGACACCCATTTATTCTAGAGGCCAATTAGTATATTTGTATAAGCCCACCTCTTCTTCTTTGACAGCTAATTCTAAGAAGATTGCAGCTGAGTGGGTCGGCCCATTAGTAATACATGATGTTCTAGATAGGACCCATTACATTTTGGCCACACTAAAGGGAGAGATTCTGCGAGATGTGTTTAGCTTCAATAGATTGAAGCCGTGCTTCATGAAAGCGTCCGATGATAGGAAACACATAACGCACATACAGAAGCTCAAAGAGGCTCTAGGGAAAAACACAGAGCGAGGGAGACAAAACGCTGAGAAACCATCAGTAAACTTCATCAATGAAAATGATGAGAAACTCCCTGAGATTGATGTTGAGCAGGTTATGTGTTCCCAACTATCAGACCCGATCCATGATTCAGACTATTTGCATGCACTGACAGACAACAATGGGATAGCTGCCCCCAGACCCTTAACACAAACAGACCTAGAAAGACAATTTGACCTACTTATGACTGCCCCCAATGACCAGAACATGACCCTTCATAAAGGACGTTTCAAAGCTGGAAATCTACAAATATTGACGTCATTTGACACTGGTAATAACACCACCAAGCAAGTGCGTTTTTGGTGGAATGTCAATTTGTATAAAGGCACAGAAAACTTAATAAATGACATACTGACAAACAGAAGAATACAGATTACAGGCAGCCCAGGAAGATTTTATAAGTCTTTATATTTGTAGGCAGTTGCCTCTATATCAATTGTGTATGCCCTAGAAAATATAATTTTTTTGTATGCTTTTATAAGTCTAGAAGCATCCTAGTTTATACAAATCACTGTAAATTTGAATCAAAGTTTTCCTGCATAAGTCTACAGGCACTTTGTAGTTAAGATTAGTATGACAATTGTTATTGAATGTTAAATTCTTGTTGAATTTTACACAAGTTGAACGCACTATAGCTCGTTCAAGAAAGAAGTTATATAACGTATCATAGCTCATCATTTTGATGGTTTTACAAGGATTGAATGTACACTTGTTATATGATATTCAACAAGTTTGAAATTACTTGTTCATCATTTATTATTCTTTAAGTTGTTTTA